AGTAGTAACAAGAAGCTACTAGATTGGACGCTAGTAGTAACAAGTGCCACGCTACTAGTAACAAGTGCCTTACTAGTACTAACAAGAAGCTACTAGATTGGACGCTAGTAGTAACAAGTGCCACGCTACTAGTAACAAGTGCCTTACTAGTAGTAGCAAGAAGCTACTAGATTGGACGCTAGTAGTAACAAGTGCATCGCTACTAGTAACAAGTGCCTTACTAGTACTAACAAGAAGCTAGTAGAAACAAGTGCCTTACTACTAGGAGCAAGAGCGCTACTAGGAACGGACCACCCCTTGACGCCCTGCCAGGTGACATTCCCATGGGGCGCAAAGTATTCCAACAAATCCTCATCGGTCCAATCATCCGGTAGATGGAAGACGAAGAGGTTGCAGCCTGGAGGGCCAAAGCTCGGCTCCTTCTCTTTGGGCTCAGAACGAGGATTCCGCCGCTTCTTGCCTTTGCCATCTTTGCCTCGGCCATCGCTAGTAGGTAGGTAGGTAGGTTCATGTAGCCCGTAATAGCCCGTAGTAAGGGTAAGTAGGAGACCTTGGAAGCTACTAGGTAGCACTATTCGTGTGGTTCCTAGATGTTGAAGCCTAGTAGCGTCCTTGCTCCTAGCGATGCCAGGAGCCCCTAGTAGCGTCCTTGCTCCTAGTGGCGATGCCCTTTGCTCCTAGTAGCGTCCTTGAATTTGGGAGAAACAAGTGAAACTGTTGCAGAAACGATTCAGGTAGCCATTTCCGCTTGAAACTCGTTAGAACAGTGAAAAACGATCATGGGTGGAGGGTCTGAGAAGAACTGACGGAGTCAACACTCGCAAGGGGCATACCGCATCCAAGTGCAGGTGGTGCAGTTTTTTTTGGCAAGTGTATTGAGATGTAGCGAGCATCTTGGGTGTTGACACTTGGGTGTCCCAGAGTTGGCATCTTGTACTTGTTAAGATCAGTTGAAGGCCATCGCTAGTAGGTTGGAGGCCATCGCTAGTACGGAAGCTGTTATAGTAGGCTGCCTACTTAGCTTATGTAGCTGCTGTCGTAAGATCAGTTGCCATCTCCTTTTTCTCCTTTTTCTCCTTTGCCGTGATGGTTCCTGTCCTCTCGTACGTCAACTAGTTTCAAGCAAAAACAACAACGACAAACAAAGCGCCTGTGGGATTTTGCTTTTATTCTTTTTCTTTTTAAACCATAGTAACAAAAAGCTACTAGGGGCTCCTGGCATCGCTACTAGGAGCAGGGACGCTAC